AGCCTGGAAAATCAGGCAGCTAAATTTGACTTTCAGGAAATACATTTGAATGCTTTGCCATTAATCTTCTCTGATTTAAATGTAAAATCAGATTTTCTCCCAAACTTGAAACTTACTTTCATCAGCAAAGGGAAATTACCCAACTTTCTTGGATTTTTCAAAGGCTTTAACTTGCAGAGAAGTAAAGACCACCAAAATTAGAGCAAGGGGAATTACTGATAGAAATGTAAGATAAAGTAGAAGATAATATCTCTCGGCCTTTTTGTGCTCATTACCTAAAGTGAGCCTAATAAAATACACCCTCACAGGAGCTTGGCAAGAAGGGTTGGTTAGAAATTTTCTATAAAATTATTTCTTGTAATAAGCTTCATGGGAAAATTAAAAGGTTCTGCATATCCCCATTTGAGAAGAATATATTCATCAAGAACTGAAAGCAGAGTTACCATGAGACTCTGCAGCACCATTTCACTAAAAAAAGTTGGCTTTTTAATAAGAAACACAAGGCTATGTTGGTGAGAGCTGCCATATTTAATGATTACTGGTAACTAAAAGGCTAAACTGTAAAGGAAATAGACCCTTTACTCACTCCAAAGCATTCTTTTCCTATGAGCATTAGTTTTTGAACCAAAAGTTTCAGTTTCTGCTCTGGATAAAGTAGAAATATTTTGGTGCTTTTATGTATGCTGTATGTCTGAGCTTCCCATGTAGTCAATGAAGATCTAGGGCAAGATAGAGATGAACCTTTTCAGGTGCTATCAGGTATTCTATCAGTCCCTGCTGCTTTAAAAGGATCCTGGTCCCCTTTAACCCCTCTGTAACCTGTTCACATGACATAGATGTCTGGCTACCACAGAACATCCCAAATAACACCCAAATCATATTTTTCTTTAGGGTGGATCCATCAGTGTAGCCAGGAGAATAGTGCAGCTCACCATAAAGGAAACACATCCATCCATTTAACGTGCTAATTCACTCTCCAGACTTCTCTGACTGTATTGAATAAAGCCCCAAGGGCTCAATTCATTTGAGTAAACAATTTCAGATACACAAGGGTAACCTGCCCAGTGTTAAAACATCTAGAAGCCGTCTGGACTTCAGTCCTATGTCATATCTATCAAATTTGTGCAGATGTCCCAAATGTCACAGGACATATCAGATCACTGTAGACTCTTATAGACAGGAAAAATGACATCAAGTCCCCTTTGATGGTAACAGGAGTTTGGCACTGTTGATGTTTACACCTACATGTTACCCTTAAATACCTTAATATCAGATTTTGTCCCATTCTGGTATTTTCTACAGTCTTGTTCAGCATTTCAGAACATTAAACTTTTTTCCTACCCCTAGAGATAATTTCTGAGACAATCCCTCTAAGTTTTGAAGGCGGTGTTCCCACTTTACTTCTCAGGGTCTATTGAGCTGTCAAACAAACACAGTATCATTCCTTTTGTTCCCAGACTGAAAGTTTCAAAAATTGTAGGCCAGAAGGTTTCTTTTCCATTTAATCCTGTATTAAACTTACAATTTACTTGACATTCTCAGTCTCTACAGTGCCCTGAAAGCAGATTGTAATCAGGTGGGGGTCAGTCTTTCTTCCCAGCTAAAAAGTGATAGGACAAGAGGAAACAACCTCAAGTTGAGCCAGGAGAGGTTTAATTGGATATTGGGAAAAACTTAACTGAAAGGGTGGTCAGGTATTGGAACAGGCTGCTCAGGGAAGTGGTGGGTTCACCATCCCAGAAAGTGTCCAATAATCACTTGGATGTGGCTTTTGGGGACATGGTTTAGTGGAGCTCCCGACAGCGCTGGGTTCATGGTTGGACTCGATGATCTGGGCGCTATTTTCCAATCTAAATGATTCTATGATTACATGATTTCCATCTACTGGAAATGAGAAAATGAATGAATGCAGATATTGCCAGCTTCTATAATACACTAGTTTATTTTACTGGCAAGATCAGAAAGATTTTTATGTGTCTTAGTACAGTCAATTCCCCAAATCAGGACCCAGAAGATCACACAAGCAGTGTAAAAATCATGCAATAACTTAACTAGTAATGATACCTTTAATTTCCTTTTTCTTGCTTAATGTTTTTGCAAACTCCATCACATTTTCATTTCTCTGGATTTCTGAAGACCAGAAGTTATGATAAAATGCAACACAAAATCACTAAATCACCTGACTCTTAAAGTGACTTGAAAGGGCTTAAAACACTCATAGCTATGCTACTGCTGATCTAGTTTTTGCAACTATTTAAAACATGACTTACAATGATAATGATTTTTATATTTCTGGTATGCCAGGCATACCTAAAAACAAAATAAAATCAAACTGAGGTATGTTTACCTCTTTTTAATGCTAAATTATAAAGACCCATATATTGATACAAGTCCAAACTCTAAGCATCCAAATTTTATGTGGTATTATTAATTGATGTCTGCAAAATATTGCTTGTAAATTTTTAATTATCATTTTCCTCACATTACTAACTGGGGATAAATATAAATTCCTGCTTTGAAAAGTGCCTGGAGACTGATGGATAAACATTCTAAATGCTAGTTATTTGTAAATAGCCTTTTTGAGACCTTTTATAAAAGGCTATGCAACTCCCAATCTGATATGAAGAATTTTCCATACTGAGAAGTCATTTTGGTCAGACTTCACATATTTTTGGTCTCTTCCCTAAGATGCCAGCTTTCCTATCCAATCAGTTTCCCACGTCTAACAGACAGAAAGGTGACCCAAAATAATATATTGAAGCCTTTTCCATGTGGGTTTTTTGATACTTACACCATCCTACCAATTGTCCATGTCCTGTAAAACTTCTTTTTCTTTAGTCCCTACATTTTCACTTTTTTCTAAAAAATCTGGGAAGACTGAGAAGCCAAAGTGCAGAGGAGATAGGACACTGAAGTGAAATATTCCTATTTCTGACCCTTTCATGGGTCTCTGCATCAGGTCAGGATTTACTGATGTGGTTCCCAAGACAGCCAAGGAGTCTCTGTAGGGACAAAATCTTAACTAGCAGGGAATGGGAAACAGTTGTTTATCCTTGTCAGAATCGCTGTGATGTGGGTTTTCTTTTCCCCTCAACTAAACCAATACAAAGTATTGGTTTCCCAAAAATGCCCATGAACTCAAAAATTAGCTTCTGTTCATCTTCTTTCTTCTCGAAATAATTTTTATTTATTTCTTAAAATAATTGAAATCACTTTTGAAAATTTCAATGGCATTTCAATCTTTGAAATAATTTTTAATTTATGTTTCTAAATGAAAACTAAAAATCTGGGGGATTAGAGCAGAGTTTTTTGTTTTCACATACCACTCACCAAAATGAATCATTATAACAAGGAGAACAACTTGGTTACCCATAATAACTTTAGGGATTTTGGCCCTTTCATGATCATTTTATACTGCATAAATGATATTTAGGCAAATGGCACCAAAGTCAGTTGTCTAAGAACTGTTTCTAGTGGCACATCCCATATCCTATGGCAGCTGGGACATCCTGCAGTCTTCCATCCAGCTCTGGGATCCTAAGCACAGGAAAGATGTGGAGCAGTTGGAGCAAGTCAGAGGAGTCCATGAGGATGGTTAGAGGGCTGGAGAAGTTCTGCTACAAGGAAAGGCTGAGAGGATTGGGATGGTTCAGCCTGGAGAAGAAAAGGCTCTGGGGAGACCTTAGAGCCCTTTCCAATACCCTAACAGGCTCCATGCTAGCTGGAGAAGGAATTTGGATAAGGGCACAGAGTGACAGGAAAAGGAGGAATGGCTTTCCACTGACAGAGGGCAGAGTTAGATGGGATATTGGGAAGAAATTCCTCCCTTTGAGGTGGAGAGGCCCTGGCAGGTTTCCAAGAGAAACTGTGGCTGCCCCAGGATATCTGGAAGTGTTCAAGGCCAAGCTAGATGGGGCTGGGAGTAACCTGGGATAATAGAAGATGTCCCTGCCCATGGCAGGGGGATGGAAGGAGATGATCTTAAAGGTCTCTTCCAGCCCAGACAATTCTGGGATTCTTTAATTTTGACAGAGATTGTATCGAAGAGATGGGACTTGTGGAAAACTTGCACATCTCTGGATCCAGAGGTGGCAGCTAGGAACAATGGCAATCAAAACTCAGTATATAAAAAACCACCTTATTTAGATATTTAGATTAAAGGTGCAACAGGGCAAATCCATACCAGTAAATTCAGCACAGCTAGGGAAACATGGCTAGAACTGTGTTATTTTTGCCAGTAATGGGTTAGGATTGTCCATTAATTCAGCCTGGCTAAACCAGCACTATGTGAAACATTTTCTGTTCATCACTTGAGCAAGGGTATTGGCCAAGGATGTTGGCCAGGGTCTATCCCCAACAGGAACTTCAGATCTCACCCTGTTGGATGGTCCAGGAGTTAAGCAGCATGGATATAGCCAAATTGTGCCAATTATGCTGAGGGTTGAGGGAGATGGCATCATTGGCTTTGCTGAATTTCTGAGTACAGATGCTGTTGTATCTTCATGTAGAATAACCAGGTCATGTTTAAGAGCTGTAATATCACAGGTGGTTGGAAAAGAACTCCAAGATCACCAAGTCAACCAAACGTGATCCAGAATTGAGAATAAACCACGCAGAATTCCTTTTATTTATCCAAGAAAGAGAAGCCAGACTTCATGACACTGGACATGGTGTTGGAGAGCCAATTCTGTTTTGGCTTCTCTGAAATCAACAGCCCTGTGTCAGTCTGCACTTGCTGTGAATCTGTCCCATGGTGTTTCAGAACTGAGGCTCCACCAAAAACAACCTTTAAAGCTGTATGCAGTCTGCTCTTTGGCTCTATTCCTCTCTTTTCAGTTTCTCCCACAGGTAATAAATAGTTTAGGGAGCAAATCCTGAATTTCACTGTAGCAAAATGAGTGTACTGTAAACTCCTCAGTGTTTGTGAGCGCATTGATATTTATGTGTGTGTGTGTATTTCTTTCCCTTTTCTTTTTCTTCTGTCTCCTTCCCATTTGTAGTTTGATCACTCATGGTTTTGGAACTCCTGCAATATGTGCTGCCCTAAGCACTTTCCAAACTGTTCTCAGTGAAATGCTGAACTACTTGGAAAAGCACACATCGCACAAAAACGGAGGAGCGGCGGAATCCGGCCAAGGACACGCCAACTCGGAGAAAGCCCCCCTGCGGAAAACTTCAGAGGCTGCTGTGAAAGAGGGCAAAACAGAAAAGACAGACTAGCTACATCAAACAGAATCTATTTCGAGAGAGTCTTGCTGCTGATATTTTTTTTAAATATATATATCATTGAGGGCAATTTATCTCCAGTGGACCAAATCCAAAAAAAAAAAAAAAAAAAAAAGGGGGGGGGGGGAAAAAAAAAAAAAAAAAAAAAGGGGGGGGGGGGAAAAAAAAAAAAAAAAAAAAAGGGGGGGGGGGGAAAAAAAAAAAAAAAAAAAAAGGGGGGGGGGGGAAAAAAAAAAAAAAAAAAAAAGGGGGGGGGGGGAAAAAAAAAAAAAAAAAAAAAGGGGGGGGGGGAAGAAAAAAATAGTAAAAAAGAAAATAAAAAGAAAATAAAAAAGAAAGATTAAAACAGAGAGAAAGAGAGAGCGTGCGAGAGGAAAGTATTCAACCCTAAGAACAGCAGTGTACAGTAATTGTGTGATGAAATTGTCACTTTTTTAAAATTTATGTTGCTCTAAACTGCTTTTTTGTGCACGTAGTATTTGATTGTTCTGAATGATACACTAACACTGTTTTTTATAAGCACTTCTGGACTTGGCTGAGGTGGCACGTGAAATTTGAAGCACTTTCTTCTCCGGCAGCAGAGTTAGGGCCAGTGCATCGTTGTGGGACATGCGGTTCCAGCATCCTGACTTTGCTTGCATGCTGGATAGATTGAAAGAAGGGCTTCCTGTGGTCCATCAGCAATGCCTGATCTACTCACCACTGGGAAAACAATATGGAAATCTGGCAAAAGAGGAATTCTTGGGTCATGGGACAAATGAACCGTCCTGTACATGGGAATGTACAATAAAGCTGCACTGGAATGAGGCCAGAACGTGTTGGGAATCTGTCCTGACCATTCAAGCAGCAGCCATGGTGTCTCTTGTGAAAAGAGCATGGCAGACTAAAAGGAAAACAAACCTTGATAGTCTCAGTAAGAGCCCTGATCCCTCTCTGAACTTCAGTTAAAAGACAGCATGGTCTTCTGTCCTCTATTTTCTCAGCCCCTGCTCCCACAGCACTCTGCCATACCTGGGTCTCTGTTCAACACAGCCAGTGCAGGCAATTGGAGTCACCTTTTGTGTTGCCTTGATTTTATGATGCTTTCTTTTCTTCAACAGCTTGTTTCTGCAGCTTTATTGTCTTTATAAATCCAGCTGAGGTGCAGAGGTCTAACAGAATCCACTCACTGGAAATAAAATAAAAACAAAATGACAAATAAGACAGATTGGCTTAGTCCACAGCAGCTGAGTGGTAATAACCTTGCTAATCTATTTTTGAAATATTACTTTACCACCTACCACACATCCTCACACGGAAAACATGGGAGGTATAGCTTGAACTCAAGACTCTTTGAGTCTAGGGACTTTTTCCTGTCACATTCTAACTCCTTCTTAGACAAGACCTTTATTCCATTCTTTTTCTTTCTTCTCTGACATCACCTAATTGAGAAAGTTAGGAAGGAATGTTATTAGTGGGAGGGCTTGATGTTGTCCATCTAAACTCTATTTAAGATCAGCAGAACCAGACCTTTTCTTCCAAGGGACAATTCCACTCTTTCTGTGGTAGGAAAAACCATAGTTGTCCATGTGTAAATGTTTAGGGCCATTTGAGATGTTTAAGGTATCTAAGGCAGCCACAGAGTTTTGACAGTTATGACATGAGAACTGGACTCACCTGGAGGAGGAGCTGCAGGATCCCAGAGACAGCACTAGATAACTGTGGGTGACAAAAGCCCTCACACACATTTTCGCTTTTCTAGAAGTTGTTAGCATGTATTTCACCTTGGATGATTAGTCTAGACTAAAGCTAGGGACTGTGACAAATAGCTGAGGTGTTTAGGGCCAGATGCAAGGAATCAAACTGAACTAACGAGATCACCTTCAACTTTCAAATTATGGAAGGCAATAGAGTGATGATGGCATGATGCTGTTTCTCTCAAGGTCAGTAAGGACATTGCCATCACCATGAGGAAACACTCTATAAAGGAAGGAGTCCCTGAGTGTTTATTTAGGAAAATCTGTGGAAAAAAAATCCTGTGCTTTTGCCCAGATTTGTCCTTGCTCAGGGTAGGTCTATAACTCTCATACCTGCTTCAGTGCTACCCAGTCACCGTCCTGCCTTGAGGGACACAGGTGTATCGCCATGGGACTCCATCTCCTTAACACACCACGATCAGATAAGTGCCTCAAAAAATTTAACTTTATTAAATGAATTTAATGAATTTGTGCTGGTACTTCTGGAGAAATGCTAAAATCGAATTAACAGTCCTCAGAGATGTCTTCAGCAGAAATATTGTGGAACTGTCCTAGAACATGAAATACTTGAGCGTGAAAGTAAGTAATCATGATTAAAAGTAAAAAGGAAACCCATTCTTCTTTTTCTATTGCCCAAACTGAGGGAGAGGAAAGGAAAAAATCTGATACTCTACTGTGTCAGATATGCAGATTCGCCACATCTGAAAAATATGTGTTGTAAAACAATTTCATTTGAACCTCTATTTCAAGATGTAGATAAATTAGATTTTTGGGGGGGGGGGAAATATAAGGAAAAGGTTTCTAAAATCCTTTTCAGTTTTTTCCACTAAAATATCAGCTTCTTGAAGGAGGAATAAATGTTTGGGCAAATAAATCTTTGGGAAAGCAGCATTTTATTACCACCAAATTAAAATGCTTAAATGTGGAAATAATATGTATACAGCCTTATATGAAATATTTTCCTATTCAGGATATGGTCCAAGGTCCCAACAATAATTTATTTCAGGACTTGTGTCTCTTGCTGTTACATAATCACTATGAGTGCCTGCTCTGCAGGCAACAGATTTTTTTTGGCCTGGATTACCCTTTGATCTATTATTATTAATAAACCTGAGCACACTTCAAGCCCCAGAACTTCCAGTTTTTGGCTTAATGACCCTTGTTGGGGTCCATTTTTGTTAATAGTCCATGCAGATCTGATTCAACTTGATTGAACTGCTATATGTTCTTATCATTAAGAAGTTTCTATTTCCATGTCAAATGTTCTGGTTTTTCCCTTAGTACACTAGTACATTTTAAAAGAAAAAATTTTTGTTTTAAATGTGGCTGCAAGTTTGCTGACTTGACAGGCTCTTTATTTGTTATTTTTAATTGCTCTTAATAATTTTATTGAGTAAACAATAATTATCACTGCCTTTTTTGCTGAACTAGCTATCTGAGCAGTTTAGTGTCATTTTTTTTAGTTTCTGACATTGGAACTTCCAGTGAGGTTTTAAGCCATGAATTCACTGGTGTTCCTGTTAAAATCTTAGCCTAGGCTCTCATCCACTTGCATTCCTGTGGTGTCCACAGGAATATGTCCATGTTCCCACATTGTAGTTTTGGGGGTTTTATTATTTTCTTAGTTCTTGTCTCTGTGGAAATATTGCCATCTCAAAACACATTAATGACCTAGATAAACCTGAGGGAAGTTCATGATTTGAGGTTAGTGGGTGCTCTCTGGTGTCAGATTGAAGTATGAAGTATCTGTATATCTTTGACTTGGAAATTTATCTGATCAGAAAAAGAAAAGAAAAAAAAATCTTCCTGTCAGAGTTTATGGAAGTGTTTATTCAATGTTAAAACCATCAAAGGAGTAGAGAAAAGTCTCCAAAGTTTCATGGCCAGGACAATGAGTCATTATGATTGTTGGACCCCAAAAATCGATTCATAACCCAAGTGCTGTCTGAGTAGTTGGATCCTGTTCAGCCCATTGCTCAGCTCAGTATGAGTTACACCTTTCTCACCAACAATCTCAAAACATTTTAAGTAGATCCCTAAACTTACTCTTTGTCCTAAGTCCTGACACATTTGACTCACAAAGTACAGCTTCTGACTCTTGGATTTATTAGCAAATTACTCATGGAGCAAACATGCTAACTACAAATTATTTTTCTAGAGCAAGGTGTTACTCACTGTGAGTACAAACAGTTCCTGTGCTGACTAAGCTTGGAAGGTGAGTCTGGCAGAGTAGGAGTAACATTCTCACCTCTGCCCTGGGATTTAGTTCTCGGTTCTCACAGCCCCCACTTATCACCACTACATGACAGACATGTAATGTAGCAGAGTTTTATCAGATAATGGGAACTGGAGCAGAGTTCACATGGCCTGTTATGGGGAGGGAACCACAGACAAGCAGTGGTGACTCTGCCACCTACAACTGAAGACTGTCAAGAACTTTGTCCTTTGTGCTGCCACCTTTAACCCTAACTCCTTCTAGGTGTCATTCTGTTGCCTTGGAGAACTGGCAGAAGGGGTGAATTTAGACCTTTCATTTGCTTCCTTTTTAAAGATAAACACCAACATTTGTTGGGAAAAGACTTCAGCTCTCCAAATCAACATGGAATCTGCTCTTTGAAGCTTCTCTTTGACTTTTCCTAAAACCAGAAAAATCTGCTACAAAGCAGGCACAATGTATAGTCCTTCCAAATCCTGGACCTCTGTGTAAATATTTCCCCAATTCATCTCTTCCTTTGGACGTGACTCAGTGGCACAGGCGCAGCTCACAGTTTTGCAGCCAGGCTCAAGGAGGGCTGTTTGTTGTCCTAAGAGCCAGTTTTAACTTTACAATCTCTAACTGCTATTTTTTGTTTGTTTGTTTGTTTCCTAACACCAACAAGCAATTTTGGTCTTAGATGTCTTAGGTATCCAAAAGAGCTGCTGGTGAATTCCAAGGTCATTTGACTTTCATTTATCCTTTGGAGAAATAGTTCTGCTGCTCTGATTCTTTATTTCTAAGGACAAGAAGAAACAGCATTAGTAGAAGACACAAGCCTGCAACACAAGGAAGAATCAATAAATTATACAGGAACTGTATTTATAAAAGTATCCTTTGCCTCTGCCCTCATTACAGGTTTAACAAGAATTCACATACAGCTGTGTGGAATGAGGGAGAAAGATAAAGTAATTTTCCTTTTCCAGGTGAAGGTCATTTGGAGAGGTCTGATCTTTTTTATTGCTATTCTTTACTTTTCTTTATTTTGTACAATTAATTCTGTTCTGTACAGCAGCTGTTGTGATTGTACTTAAATGTGAGTGCGCACTTGGTCACCAACAAACAATGTCC